AGTTCCCGGACTGTCAGGCCCCCAAAGTTGTACTGGTTTCTTCTAACAGACGCCACTTACTGATAAAGTCTTGTATTTTCACCGTATGAGGCCCTTCTTTCAGTTGTCTTCCAATTAATTTCATGTCCAGTCTGTGCGATGTGTTCCGCTAATTCTAATATTTTTGTATCCATTTTCATGCGGAGCTTTTGATGTTCCTTGATTAGTATACTAATTTTTCTCTGTTTCGCCAATATTCGCTGGCGCCGCATGCTCTGCAGTAAACTCCTGAACAATCCAATTTACCCATCCCTTCATGTTGCGTTGGTAGACTTGTGTAGAGTGTTGTTTTTTCGTATGTAAGTAGAATTTCGAGACCACCAGTAAATCAGTTATATGAGATGTATTCACCATATTTCGTTTAAGGTAATACAGGATTTGTAGTAGAATTTTCCCACGATTATATGGGTAGAGCTGACGTTTTCATTAAATTTAACATAGCCTTGTTTTCCCAAAAGTTGTTTTCATCCATGGTGGATCGAAGTTTTGACCTCGCCTAGCTTTTATCAACACCCCCAGCGGGAGTCGAATCGTGACAATGCAGCATGTGAGTTCGACACATTAACCACTCGGCAACATCGCCACGAGTACTCTTGGGTCACAGGGCAGATGCCAATTTCAAGGAAGGTAAGGCCTTTTCCCATATCACATTCTTTGATTATTAATGAAGCAAAAGTATTTTTGCTATAAAAATCGACTAAATTGCTTATTTTCATCAGCTTAAACGAAATAGAATGAATATATCTCATATTTATGATTTACTGGTAGTCTCGAAACTCTACTTACATATGAAAAAAAAGTAACATAGTCGATTGTTATAGCAAAATATGTTTGCTTCATCGATAATCCCACCAAAGAATGTGATATGGGTAAAGGTATGGCTTTCCTTGAAATTGAAATCTGCCCTGTGACCCTAGGCCGCTCGCGGCAATGCGGCCGAGTGGTTAAGGTGTCAGGCTCATATGCTGCACTGTCACGGTTCGTCTCCCACTAGGGTTGTTGATAAGACCTAGACGAGGTAGAAACTGCAGTCCACCCTGGGTGAGAACAACTTTTGGGAAAGCAAGGTTATGTTAAATTCAACGGAAATGCCATCTCTACTCATATCGTTGCGGGAAAATTCTACTACCAGTCCTTCATCACCTTATACGAAATAGGGTGAATAGATATATTAATGTTATTTTTTCCTTTATTGACGCCCGAATATTCCATTTTCTTCGTATTGGCCGTAATTTTTGAGTTCGTTCGCAGGAAGGTAGGCATATAAACTTTGTTAATCTTTCTCCGTTCTTTCTTTTCTTTCATAGTCCTCATTCTGTAATTGGCTTTTCATGACCCTATTGTTCCTTTCTATTACTTCGCTTGCGTAACGGTTGCCGGAGCATATCCTAGTCAATTGCCCAATTCTTCATCCAAAAATTCTACATTGTTAATTGTTGCCTTCTAATGATCATGCTCCTCAGTATTCCTATCTTCAATCTGTAGCTGTAATGAGACTCGAAGTTCAGTATTATTCCGGCATATATATTTAAAATAGTTTGTCTTTATTGTCAAGTTGATCAGTCGGGTTAACGACTCCTCATCCTTTGTGATTCCAGAATATCCTCTTCCCGGCCCAGGATTCCAGCATGACCGTCAGCGCATTTTATCTAGTGATGTTTGTATACATGCATTCTACGTCATAACCTACCAATAAGCTCGTTCCTTCCAGTGCCATGCGTTTTATTTTCTGAGAACTTCATATGAATGCTTATCGTGTTTGATAGCCATTCACTGAATTTCTTGTGTTTCAAACATGAACTTTGTCAATTTGTGTTTTGCTCCATAATTGTTGACTTAGTGGTTCGCCTTCTTTGTGCATCCTTTCTTATGATTGAATTTCTTGTTCATCGGTCAATTTCCCCGTTCCTATGCATATCCTTCACTATGTCATAAGGCTCCATTGATCTCCATGATTAGGCCCTTTATTATACGATATTTAGTCTTGTCTCACAGAATACATTCCATCAATTGCAAGGCAACTGAAAGAAGTACCTCATACGTTGAAAATACAAGGAAGCGGAGGCTAATGACATACTTGAAGAAAATATCTAATGAACAGGAAATCGTAGGAAGGGAGAACTAGCTATAACTTTGCCTACTGCCTAAGACAGCTACATCACTCAAAAGAATGAGAGTGTGGGGTGAGGATGGGAAATAGGTTAACTGGGTCGAATGTCTGAAGGCTAGAGATAAGGAAATACCTAGGCATGAGAAACACTGTTTTTTTAATCCTCGAATATGACGTAAAAGGTGCCCGTAATTGAAGGCTTACAGGCAGCCAGTGATTTTAATGTGTAGCAAGAAGCAACTGATAGGCGATATGGAAAGGGGCTAAATGGAAGTCAGAGGCCGTAGGACAGAAGCCCTGCAAACATCATCTGAAACCCTAATCGACACGTTCTTAACCGAAGTTGGAGAAAACAATAAACGAGAATAACGTAAATAGGTTAATGGACTACTTTAAATGAGTTTGAGAGTAAAAGATGCAGCACCTAAAAGTAGGACAAAATATAAGGACGAGGGGTGATTACACAGCGGTTGAATCGAAAATTAGTCAAGTCGATTCTTTTCACTTGTCACTTTGATAAGTTGTAACTATGTGTTAAGGATGCCGGCGAAAGTTTTGGGAGTGCACAAAGTCAACGGTTTGATTGTGGAAATCATCACGAATACTATGGCAAAGGATGCAGTATTAGGCCCTTTCCATAACGTCTCTTTATCACTTCTACCAAGTTGTGAAAACAATCACTTCAGCTAGAGATTGCGACCAAACACATGACTACACAATCTTGGTCTTCATATTTAAGACTTCGTAATTATTATTAATATCGATTTTGATCAAAGGTTTCCTTTATAGAACGCCGTCGGATTGTTGCTAAAAGTTATCAATGCTTTTTATCTAAACTTAATTTATAAATAACTACTCATTTTTGCAAAAAATTTTTTCAGCTATCTGTTCCAAACACAGCTCCCTTTGACATTGAATTGTCTTTTATCGGCTCTCATGGCCATGAGCTAGAGGCTGTTGATTCTCTTGACTTCAGCGCTCGAATTCTTTCAGAGAAGGCCTTAGGTGTACGTATCGACCCCACCATTACTGGCACTCACCTATATTCTCCTCTTGTCTTAGACCCTCAACCAGAGGTTATC